AACTCGGTGTAGACAATAGTTGGGATCGAACTTAAGAAGGCTGTTTAGTCGTTCCATTCAATTTATAAAAAGTGAATTGTTATTTCAGTTATTTTCAAAGTAGTTTAATATAAAAGCTCTATATGATAGTCGTAAATAGAAATATTATTATATAATAGTATAATAATAATATAAAACATATGAATTTAAATATATATATGAAATATATATTTATTGTACAACTGCGTTATATTCATATTGGCGGGATTACAAATACAAATATGTGTACCGTCATATTATTCACATAAGCCGTTGCTTTTTTACAATCAGCGTTAAGAGCAAAGAACGTGCATAAGTTACTGTCATTCCATGTCAGCATGCAGATTGTGTGCAGAGAAATGAAATGTGACAGCTATGTGCAGAATAGTTTTCCTTATGAAATAAATTGCTTGATCGTACAATGCACGTGAAACTTCGAATTTTTCAATATTAATATAATTTTAATTTATTGATTCTATTCTATGGGTCTCCTTGCTAACAGTTCAAAATATAAATAATGAGAAATTCACTTACCAGTCAATAAATAATCTAATTTTTTTAATTATTTAAACACTTTATATAATACGAATATAGCAGAACTAGAATATTTTTTAATTTTTCTTTTTGATTTTTATAATATGGTTTTTAACCAAATTTAAATTGAACTATTTAACTGTTTCAAAATGAAATTAATAATTTTTAAAACACTTTAACACTTTTAGGTAAATTTTGTTCAGTTGAAATAACTGCTTTTTGCTGTTCTGTGGTAACTTTTGGAATGATCTTTTATTCGAAATGATTGCGATGGCCATGTAAAATTTTCTTTTTTTGCAGAAAGCCTTTATCTGGTTTTTTTCTTTTCAAGGTATATAAGAAAAGGAGCATATATGAAAAGAGCACAGAGTTGCTTTCCTATAAATGTGAATGGCGAAAATGAAATCTCACTACACTATGTATGAGTTTCGTTTAATTTCTTGATTGAAAGATCGTGAATAATGATGATCTTAATAGACGTACTATATAATATATAATCTTGCATAAATAAAATAGGTTGCCTCTGCTGTTCCTACCGTCTCTTGAGAAACGTAGATTTATTCTTGGCGTTTCCTTTCTAATTAAAGTAATAAATGGTACAATTGACTCGCCCGTATTACTTCGTGAGATAGGCTTCAATGTCCCTAACCGATTTATTTGGATTAAGCTTAGTCAAGGCAAATATAATGACGAACTGTATAACCAACTCAGAGTTGTTTGCAAGAACCTAAATGACGTCTATCACTTATTCTCATTAACGGACTCCTTAAAGTCTATTAAAGCATCTTTGCTTAATATGCGCGATTTACCTATGTCATACTTAAACTAGCTCTTAACCTTAAAATATCACGATGAGCCGAAAATGAATTGTTGTTAACTATTATCGGTTGCCAAGCTTATGCATGTTGGCGATGGCTTAGGGGTTCATTTGCAATTTGGTCCTGTACCGGTTGTGGGTGTGGCTCTATGCTTGTTGTGTATATGCTTTTTTTCTTTTTTTTTCTTCTTATTTGTTTTATTATAATTATACTAAATTTTATTATTAATTAATATAAGTTTTGCATTAAGAGCCAATTAAACTCGACTGTTATTTGTTTAGTTGAGTTTCTAGTATAAGTAGAATAAATAAATAAATAAATAATAATTTTTATTTTTGATAAATTTATTTGGCAAAAACATGTTTAAAATAAAAAATTTAATAAAATATGATTTCATAATGAATCTAAACAAGTAAGATTTTTGGTTTTTTTACTACTTTCATGTACAACTCTTGCGATATGTGTGGGGTAACAATATAATGTAATATAGGCACAGCGTTGCTGTTGTTCTTGTTGTAGATACACAAGTATGTACAAACATATGTAAAACGCCGGTCTTTTAAAAAGTACAATGAGTTTGACCGGTGAGGATGTTTCGCAAACTTTTTTTTTTTTAATGTAATACTAAAATTTTTTTTTTTTTTAGATAAAAAAGAAACGTCCACCAGAAGATGTCCCAAAAGATCTCTCGCAAAGTAAGTTGTATAATTTTTTTTTTTTTTTTGATTTAATATTAAAATTTTTTTTTTAGATGAAAATGAAACTAGAGACTGGCGTAATGAACGCCGCGATGAGGGCGCCAAAAACTGGGGCAACCGCCGTCCGTCTCTCAGAGTAAGTTGTACAATTTTTTTTTTGTTTTTGATTTAATAGTAAAATTTTTTTTTTTGTAGATAAAAAAGAAACTGGACCACCAGAAGATGTCGCATAAGATGTCTCGCGTGAAGAACCGCCGCTTCCGACCCGTAGGCGTAGGTGGAGAAGTGCTGGGCGCCGCCCCCCTACCGATTTGCGAGAGTGGATAAACCGCCAGCAGAGCGGGCAACGGATGGCTACGCCGACAAAATTCACCGTTTGATCTACGCAGTGTGTTGAGCCGCCCGAATCAGGGCCGAGAAGCGCCCACGCGTGGTAATAATATAATCGTAATAAGTAAGTATAATGGTATTAAAAATAATATTTATGATATTTATTTTGTGAGTATTTTTAGGTACAAAGCAGGCACCACTCTTAAAACACGTTTCATGTCAAATGAAAACGCTTATTCTCTATGCATCGTGTCTTCAATGGGAGACGACTATTAAAAGAGCAATAAATAGATTTTTCAATTCCCAAAAAAAAAGAATCAAAATTAGTTTTTAACTAAAACTTCTATTATAAATATAAACAGTTTAAATACAATAAGAATAGCAATAATGTTTAATATACAATTAAAAACCAAAGGGAAAAAAAGTCGTCGCACTTCAGCATACTAACGTTGAAAGTTGTTAGTCTTAATTTACCAATTATTTTTTAAAAAATAAAAAGATGTATTTATTTTTTATAAACACTAACTATAGTCACCGCTTTGGTTTAATTAAAATGTATACCTTCCGAATTAAAGGCTAATAATAAACGCAAGAAATCACCCAAATCCATTGAACGCGTTCTTGTATTCGCCATATTGAGCTTCACCAATATATTTCATTATATATCACAGCAGCTGTTAGAGTTTCCTCCTTTAAGATTTCAGCAAAAGCAAGACATATTATTATTCGAGTTGATGTAGCACGAGCAAAGATCATTACTTACGATGTTTCAATCACGAAAATAAACGAAATTCATGCAAAATGTGGTGAGATTTTATTCTGATCATTATTAGTATTTATTGAAAGCAACTCTGTGATCTCTCCATCCTCCACAGATGGTAAATTTCTTATAAACCTCGCAAAGGATTTTGTATAAAACTGTTCAAAGGCTTTCAATTCAATCAATCAATTTGGCAAGCTCGCAAAGCACACACGAAATTGACCGAAATTAAGAAGAAAAAATTGAAGAAAATTTAATTTTCTTACATTTTCACTAAATACAGCGTTTTTAATAAAAAAATACTTTAAAATTCGTTTTGTGCATTCAAATAATTTAATTAAAATATACTTTAAAATTCGTTTGGTGCATTGAAATATTTTAATAATAAAAAGATACTTTAAATGTCGTTTGGTGCAGTGAAATATTTTAATAAAAAGATACTTTAAAAGTCGTTTAGTGCATTGAAGTAATTATTAAATTTTAACTTTTAACTTAAGTGGTAATTGAATTTTACTATTTCATATATTTTATTTCTTAAATTATAAAATTAAGAATTTTGTAAATGGTGAATGAAAAATGCTCAAAAAATGATGCAAGAGAAGATTAGATATAAAATAACAGCAATATTTTCAGTTTAACAGCTTTTCAGTATTAGTCTTTTATATTCTTTTATGTTTTTCAACTTTATTTTTTTAATATGCGACAAAAGTTATTAATTTATTCGATATCCTGTTTGAAAAAAACATATTTCCATATTTCTGGTAAACGTAGATAAGCGATTTTTGGGTTTTACACAACAAGGGTAGGAACTTGTAAATTGGTAAACTCCTCGTGGCAATGTTTCTCCGTATTTTTTATTCAATTAAAAGTTATTGTACTTGCTATCACAGGGATGAGGGTATATTCATTTTGCCAAAACGTCTGCAACAACCAGAAGGCTGCTTTAGCGATTCTATAAAATTTATCTTAAACATTGGAAGATCATGCGATCGAAGGACATACACTTACAGTGCAATCTGAAGTGAAACCACCATTGTTTCCGAAAACAATATAAATCTGTTTTGACTTAATGCTTACACATACATGCACATATATTTTATGGATAATCCTACATTATCTATAAAAAAAAAACAATCATGTCGACCCAAAAACATACAGTATTAAAATTTTTTTTTTTTTTAAGGAAAAGATGAAGTATTTGGCCACAGCCGAATATAATTTCCTTACTTTTTTTTTAAATTTCGATTTCGGTTGTTATTATTGAAAACAATTTCTTACTAATTAAAAACAAACATAACAAAAAGAAAATGATGTCCGGTTTAGGTAAACGAATAGTAGCCATTTTTGGGTTTTAAATATAATTGAGTGTGAATTATTTTTACCTGCGTGATTGGCGACAAAGAACAACAAGTATATGCGCTGACGGAACGTTTGCCTTTTAGTTTTTACTATTCGCACACGTGCCAATGGTTATTTCCGAAGATTTGACAGAAGATTTGTAGCGGTAATCATACGATCACTTTTCTTATCAGCACCCGAATCGTCTCTTGGTACTGCATATTTTATTAAACTGACCTACCCGACACGTTTGTAACTACATTTATGTTTTGGTTCAAAATATTATATTGTTCTATAATTTTTTGTAAAATAAATTGACTCGGTAATTAATATGCTACAAAATTAAGAATTAATTTTTATATATACCTTCACATTATGTTCTGTTTGATTCCACTATACACTATTATGATGTTATTTTTCTCGGTTATTTATATATGACCATATGGTTTTATTTATTTTGTTTTTCTTTTCTTCTTTTCAGGATATATTAATATTTAATATAAATTTATTTACATTAGTATATATATTATTTATATTATTATACACGTTATTTAATATATTATTATATAATAAAATGGTCTTCATACCTGACGCACTCTTCAGCGAAGAATTGAAAAGTTGTCCAGAGTTGTGGGGTCTGGGAAAGGGATATGTTTCTTGGAAAAACAATGGTAGTAGGTTAGCTAACATACTCACAAAAAAAACAGGTACACTTATAACAGTGGAAGACGTTAAACGAAAATGGAAAAATGTCAGAACGTATCTAAAACGATTGGAAAACACGGAGGGAACAAGGTTTACGGGTATGGGCGCGTATGTGTGGTACGCGCATCAATTAGGATTGGAACGTACTGTCGCTAGAATTACCAAACAAATTTTAGCGGACGGGGAAGTACCAGTAGAAGTAGGTTGTGAGGAAATAAAAGTAAAAGAAGAAGTACAGATGGACACAGATTACGAAGAATTTTTACGGTTTGACGAAATGGACAACAGATTATCACAGGAAAAAGTGACAGGGGAACAAACGGATTTACAGACGAATGAACGACTATTTAGCATAGAAAGCCCCAACATTATGGATTATAGTTATAATGTAAATAGATACAAAAATGATATAGACGACGAGAAAGCGATAACATCGAATAGAATTACCACACAAATTTTAGCGGAGGGAGAAGTACCAGTAGAAGTAGATTTTGAGGAAATAAAAATAAAAGAAGAAGTACAGATAGACACAGATTACGAAGATTTTTTACGGTTTGACGAAATGGACAACAGATTTTCACAGGAAAAAGTGACAGGGGAACAAACGGATGTACAGAGGAATGAACGACCATCTAGAATAGAAAGCCCCGATGTAATGGGTTATAGTTATAATGTAAATAGATACAAAAATGATAAAGACGACGAGAAAGCGACAACATCGGCGGCTGCAGCACGGGGGAGGAAGGATCGACGCTTTGAACCCGCCGTAACCCCAGACGAAAGCCAGGAAGTGGAAGAAGCTCAAAGAGTGGTGCCGGACATTGAGGCACTGCGAGGGGTCGTGAGGAAATTAACTCCTCACGACAAAATCGTACAACTACACTTCAATGAAGTGTATACCGGCCTAAGGTCAGCATATACTCGATCCGAGGACAAGCTGTATGGACGCGGGTACATTCTAAACCAAGAATTAGCGGAGACGAAAGAGTACCGGACGGTACTCGTTTTCGGAGTACGCAGTATATTGACGGCGTTCAACATGCTACTCAGCGCCTATCCTATCATCCGCCACAAAGGGAATCCAGAACTATTAGAGGAAAATTTAAGAATCGCGGAGGAGATCGGACTGGAAGTAAAAGCGGTGGTCTGCGACAGGAGCGGCCAAAATCACAAGGCAATTAGGATTTTCGCAAGCGGCGAATTTAAAAGGCAACGTGCGGATGGCAGCAAGTATATAGTCGTACACATGTACGACTATATACACATCCTGGAAGCATTCCGCCAGAAAGCGATTACATTAAACCGACGATATGACGCCGCAATTGTCACCAAAGTAGCTGCGCAGAACGCGCCCATCTGGGGACACTGGGAGACGAGAGGCGCCAGCTTGTTAATCACCTCACCTAGAAATTTAGTAGAAACAGTCCAATTTTTCACACCAGCAATGCCAGCAATGTTGGAAATAGCAATTCAACGAGGAATCATTGGTAGTGCCATAGAAGTTAGGACGTACGAACTCTTCGCTGCTATGACAAAATTTAACAAAATTTTTCACAGCGGCAAAATCAACAGCACCAATTGGCAGGCCCAAAGAGCGGTGCTAGAAGAAGTTAGAGAACATCTCAGTTCCGCCCTTGAGGCGGACCTGCTAGCGGGCGAAACCGTGCAAACAATGAATAGATTTATAAAATTAATGGACGGGCTGCTGGAGGCTTATCCTGGCATAACTATCCATTCCTACAGGGTAAGCCAAGATCTACTGGAACGTTTCTTCTGCAAGGTAGCTCCAAACAAGAGAAATCTTACCAGACCGGCGACACAAATAATGAAGCTGATCAACCGCCTAATTAAATTACAAATACAATTTTGGGGCAGCGGACAGTCTACCACCAATGATTACCATCTTATAGAGTTGATGGATTACACGATGGAAGACCAGGCCGAAGAAGAGTTCCTGCCATTCGGCCTGGATGGGGTGATATTCGACGACGTAGTCACCGGACAAGTAACTAGAAAAGAGGAAGGATACATCTGGCTGCTCACGGGCTACGGAATAGCTCAGTACATACGTGAACATCTGCGTTGTCAAGCCTGCCTGAAAGACCTCACGCTAAGAAAAGAAGATGCAAATGACCCGAGAGACGTTGTCATCGCAGCCCACAAATATCTGGAACCCGAATTCGCAAAGCCTAAAGTTTATGACGCATTTCATAACGCCTGCGACATATACAAGTTCGTGATACTGAACCATATGGTCGAAGCAAACATCGGCAAGCGCCTGCAGGCAACAATAGTAGCACGGCTTGCCTTCTTCAGGGAGGCAAGCTCCTGTCCCGACGGAAGAAACCACCGAACAAATCTGCTAGGCTTCATCATCAATTTGCTGCTGATTGGAGATAACTGGGTACAAGAAACTGTTACCAATGTGTCATCATTTTGAAGGAAAACCAGAAAAGTGGAGGTAAAAGCAATATTAAATAAATATATATATATAAATTACTAATTTCTTTCCTCTATTTCAGAATGCAAAAGTATCCGCCCACCATACTCTCCGTTCAAGTATAGGAAAATTGTGCTTTAAATACAGCAAAGGTAATTACAATTTTTTATAAATATATTTATAACTTTCTACATTTTTTCTTCCAACTTACTTCTTTATATTTATTTAATCTTAGATAAAAAGACAAGTATAAGCCATTCTATGCCGCTTAAATGCCGCCTATTACCTATTTTAGATTACAATAAAAATCAAATCCAGTTATCTGGTCGCCGCCTCATACCGATGAAAATTCGCTACATGCCAAAGGTAGGCTACATTTATCTTTACTTGTTATTATTCCAATTTATTCATTTCTTTTCATTTTATTTTAGATTAAAAAATAAGAATACGCCTCCACGCATCGCTTCAGCAAAACGCCATACTTACGTAGGCTAAATGGCAAGTTCTGGTCATCTTTGTGTATACAATTTATTAATCACAATATTTTTCTTTTGCAGATGTCAGCAAACCGAGAAGATGTGAATAGGCATAGCAGGAATTTTTATTTATTTATATGTATGTTATGTATCATTATGTACGTTTTAGCGGGGCTTTTTATTTATTATATATTACTACGTGTTACTATGTATTATTATGTATTATTATTATTGTAAATACTATTGTGATTTTTAATTAAGTCTATAATGGTGAAGGCCTAAAGGGGAGCCAGCCATTTAAAACAGTTGGCAACGCGCCTATCACGGTACCTCAAGGGTGGTGTGGAAAGCCGTGCCAGGAAGCCGACATAAACTATCATTTATTTGGAAGAGTTCCTGAGGGTTCCGTGAGCAGCTAGTATGCGAGGAATGTTTACAGAAACTCACGCTGGAGGAGGATGTCTTCTGCCATGAGAATCGAGGAAGCTTGATAATTTATAGGAATTACAAATAAAAGTACACAAGAAGCAGAAGTCTTGAAGAAATCTTCCTCCCTTCAAAATTGTAAAGTATATAATATAAATGAAATATTTTACAAATACAAAAAAGAATAAGAAATAAATAGGAGATAATTTGAACACGGAGCGAATTGGAAACATTATTATTTGATTAAATGCCATTTTATATTAAAAACTACACCCCATCGCAAATAAAGACACATAAATAAGCACAACCTGACAATTTCCTTACCTCGTCGAGCTAAGTTCGAAAGTCAGCTAGACTGATTCGTGAGAATTGTATTTTGATTCACCTTTTCTTAAATATTTTTAAGATATTTGAAGTCAATAAGTTATTTATTCAACTGCGGCAACAATTTCTATTGAGAAAACCATTAAAATATCACTTTTGTTAAAAAGCTATTGTGTACATAAATAACGCGATTGAAAAAGGGTCGATATAATTGTCGCTCTCAAAGTTAACTAGACTTACTAACTTCATTTTGTTGCACTTTATTTTAGCCCATTTTTTATACTACAACTGTATGACTGTGATTGCATCCTACTTCATGTTTAATAAAAATCAGGCAATCAACGTAATTAAGTTTCATAAGTCTCATCACGCAAGGCATAGGTTGTCTTACGTTGAAAATAAAAAATAAAATTAAATAAAGTAAAATAAAAAAAATTAAATTTAAATGTTGGGCAATTGATGTCTTTCTTGAGAATGGGAGGTATAGCGAATTCGATTGAAAAACAGATGAGAGTAATTAAATGAGCGACTTCGAATTTGGTGCCATATGAGAGTAATTAAATCAGCGAATCTGAACCACTTGTTAGATTCATAATATTGTCTTTAATTGAACAAAAATGATGTCAATGCATGGTCAGCGCGTAACTTTAACTCGAGATTTATCGACTTATTTAAACCAATAGCATTCAATGTGTTAAATATCGTTGGATTTCTTTTTTGTTTTATAAAACTATTAAAATTGTAAACATCAAGTATCTGGTGCAATTCCCCATCTTCGAAGCGACCGAATCGAATGAAGATATGAATACTTTCAGGAGCGTCTGGACACGGATTATCCAAAGTGATCAATCCAAATTTATGTTGTTTTGTAAATAAACCAACTATAATACAAAGAAGAAAAAATTGCTTCATATATGTTCATCCAATTTTTATAAAACCAACGGAAGAAACGTAATTCTCGAGTTCTTTCCAATTTGTAAACTATAGTTAAAAAAGCATTACATTTCTTGCAAAAACTCGAAGGCAATTCGGATTTTTTCATAATCTAATAAAAAGAATAGAATATTAGGTTCATGAATTTTATAAATGATTGATGATCAACCTTTATGTCGGCACATTCTTCATGTTTCTCATATACAGTAAATTTCACTGTCGATCGGGATCTGGTGGTATCTCAGCATTGCATTTCTTTTCAACCACTAGCGTGCCAAGCGACTGGTCAAATTTTGCATTTGCCGATTTCTTCGCTGCTTTGGTAGATATTACCCATCGAAGTTCATCGGTTACAATTGCAAACAAGCAATTTTTTAAATATTGCTTAATCAATATCAGATTGAATATAATTGCAACGTTAACTGTAATTGGCTTTTAAGTGAATTCATTTCATATTTTACTTATATATGCTGTTAAGAGTTATCAAAAATTTAAAAAATCAAAGCATAAAATATAAAAATTCGGACTAAATTACATCTTCACTAAAATGTATAGTTTTTTTTTTTTTGAATAACATGTGTTTAAACAGATGTCACAGTTTTAAAAATACTGCTTTTAAGAAGTTGCATCTGCTGCCTTAGCAGGATGAAACATTGATCATAATTCATGCAAGTGTGGTTATGACAGGTTTGTAGAGAGTATTAGTGTGGCTATGACAGGTTGGTGGAAGTTTGATTGCATTTATTCCTAAAAGCGTTTCGCTTTTCAATAATTTACGTTCTTTCTACGAAAATAATAAAGACAAAAAAAAGCAATCCTATTTGCGGCAACTATAATCTCCAACAACGACAATCGTTTTGCACTTTGGTATCATTGTTTTTCTCTTTTCACTAAATTCATTGACAATCAAATCTTGTTCTTAAGCGGTTAGAAATATTATTAAAATTAAGAATATCCAAGAGAAAGGGAAAGTTATAAGTAAATAAATGGAGTATTTATTGCAGCTGCAATTAAATAAAAATTTTTAAAATTTCAAATATCGTAATTCAAACACCAAGATAATTGATTAACTGAGTGAGTGCGTTAACTAAAAGAAAGAAAGAAAAAGTGTGGAAAAAGCGACGTCATCAGTTAGCAGTATTTATACATTTTTGTTTTAAAAAATTAAACGTGTGTATGTGTAGTATGTGTGTACCGATTGCGGAAGAAAGTTTTCATAAAGTTTGCGTGCATTATTTTTAAGAGAATAAAATTAAAGAAAAAATAATTTTGCTTTAAGAAAAAGTATTGGAATCTTTCCATTGAGTTACAGATTTTATAATATTTGCAGGTTTATTTATTAAAACACAACATCATAATAATTTATTTCCCTTTATTTGTTAGCTTAGATCCGTGACCTCTCTCCAGAGCAATTACATTTCTCCCAAGATACAATCCTTCCCCCTCATATTCTTTGTAATAAAAATCATAGCAAAAAAAGTGTCAAATTGATATTATAATAATAATAATAATAATAATAATAATAATAAAAACAAAACCAACCCATTGAAATAACAAAACAGCTGTAAAAATTAATATTTCCTTATTGCAATTGTGCGTGCGAAGAATAAAAGAAAAAAACAAAATTTCAAGAAAACAAAAAGGAATTTTATTTTAAAATTATTACTGCAGCAAAACTAAAAAAAAATGCTGATCAAAGAATTGTAAGTACAAAGATAAATTTTCGTTAATTCTATGCATGTTCTTCAGCAAAAACCTTTATATTTATATTATGAAAGGGGGAGGCTACCAATATCGTGATACATTATAAAAGAGCAAAAACAAATTTGATTTTATATTCATTCACTTTAAAACATTTTTAATGAAAAATGTGGAAAAAGAATATTGCAAAGCATTTTAAAAGTTCACATGTTTAAGTACGAAATAAATGCCGCGAAAATCGGTGACAAATCGATTTTTCTTATAACATTCCATACTCTTATTTAATCTCTTTTTTTTTGATTTTCCTTCCACAATCTTTCTCTCTTTTTTCCCCTTTTCTGCGTAGCCTTTTCTCTTGTTTAGTAGTGAATCAATTCACATGTGCCAGAGTTGCATGACATTGATTCTCTAATGTATGTGCGTTTTTTGTAATGTACTTTAACCCCTAAAGTTCGCTTATGCATAAAAAATAATGGACAAAATATATATATTATTATAAAAAAAAAAGTAATTATATTCAAAGTGCTGCTTTAAGCGATTATCAAAGTAAACAAAACAATTTACGTGTAAGTAGATAAATGTACAAGAATAAGAGAATAACATGAGGATTTTAGTTTCTCTATAGCCATTGACTTATTCTGGTGTAGGCATCTTCCGGGCTTTTCTTATGGTCCGGATTTGTGCTAATGCTTGTTCTACTCTTTGCACTACGTGTTTCAATAATAATAAGAGAGAAAGTAACAGAGTTTATGGTTTTCTTCCTCAAAAAAAAAAAAAAAAAAACAACTGCTTTTTTCCCTAGTGCGCCCAAAGGCTCTCTGTAGTCTTATTGAGGCATCAGTTGGCAGGTATTTTCCAAATGATTGTTATCTAGGCCGTACAATAACTATTATTATTAATTAATAATGTAAATGAAATTAAGATCTGAATTAATCGAAGGATATTGTTTCCTATCTCCTTTCTTATTAAATATTAATAATTTTAGAAAATATTTATTTACAATATAAAGGTAATATAATTTGGATCATTCGTTTCTTCTTTTCAATTTTAATTAATTTCAATTCACCTATAAGATGCATTGAAGCGATTGCAGCAGTTGCCCCGCAGTTAAACGGTTAACGCAACGTCTGGTTTTGTTCTTTACAAATTTCAGTTAAGCTCTTCTTTGATAAGAGACCTTGAAAAAAAAAAAAACAAAAAAAAAACTTATCGGTTTTACAAAAAAATTTATTATTTGTTAAAAGTTATAAAAAATTGAAAATCGTTAAATAAATTTCTTAGCAAAGTTTGTAATTTTACTTTATCTGTCTGAAAGAAATGAACCCACTAAGTTTACCATGGCCTATGTTTGGTAGTTCTATATTTAAATTTCCATTTGTTTCCAAAAATCTCTTTATATTAAAAATCTGATCCTATGCCGATTTTTGCAAGCTTTCTATTACGTATATGAAGCAATCCGTTGGTTTCAGATGGATTGCTCAAGGTAGAGAAGGAGAAACTGTTTATGAATGGAGATAACTTAAAAGCTTGGAACGATGATAGAACTAGCCTAGCAATGTGAAACATTGAGGAAAAACAATGACGATGAGACGATTAAGGCTTCCAATAAGAAGCCTAAGCTAGGCTATACCAACACATAGCGAGTAAAAAAGTGTATAGTCGACCTTGGCCTACGATTAAATATCCTACGCGGCTTCGCTGAATGCAATTGTTTACAAAATGACTTTTCAAAATAAGGCGTCATACGTGAAGTGATCGAAACAGCGGTTCGATACGAACTATTGCCGTATAGTGTTGTTTTTTGGGTTAGTGTATGAGGGGTGGGTGGGTAGCAAATTTCGTCAAAATATTGAAAAACTGCAGCCTGTAGGTTGGAGAAATCACAAGGACGGACGGATAAGCAAGCTTAGATCGGTATAAAATATGTTGAATCTATCTCAAATCGGTATGTGTTACGTACATCCGCACTAACTTAATATATTCCTGTACCACAAGTACAGAGCGTAGCAGAGCTTGTTCGATAAACAAAACCTCAATTGATAAAGGGAAGCTTTCTTCGATTAATATTTTGCTCTAAAAGCGGCTCAAGGGATCATTTCAATTTCTTCATTTCGAGATCTTATCTATTGATGCATTTGTCTTAACGTCCGAGCTTAACCAATTCCGTTAAGCATTTATTTCGATTAATGTAAAAGTGTTTGAATATTCCAAGCCTGAATTACAGAATAATTTTAAAAGATGAGCCTCCCTTGCCCTTAGAAATAAATATGCGTATGAGTGATCTCTTTTCTCCGCCTATGTACTTTCACGGAAATATGTGGTCGTGTAGATTCGAGCAATAATTTCTCTTGTGACCATGTTCTCCAGTTAATAAGTGGAACAATCTGATATATTCGCCGCCAGGCAGGGAAGACGATATTTACAAGGGGTTCTCCTTTACTCAAATCCCTCAAAAAAAAACATTTAAGTGAAAATTTACAAGACAAGCTTCCACCGCAATGTTGCCACCGTAGCCCGATAACATTGAGACGCACAAGCCAATTGCTCTTATCCTTAAATCGCTTATTGTCTGATAAGCTAAACTGCAATGAGAACTTAACTGCTTATGTAAGAAAATAACATTACTAATGTGAGATTTGTACGCCTAAAAGTGTGGGTTGGAAAATCGACATTGAATTAATTAATTAAATCTATATCTTAATTATTAAGTCTTGAATTAACAAAATCAAACTTAATTTTTTTCTATTATTTTTGCTAGAATATGCTGAGATTTAACTTCAAGTTGTTTGCATTCAAGTTTTAACTAGTGGATGAGTGAGTGAGTGAGTGAGTGAGTGCTTCAACCAGTCTCATTACTGCTTTAGGAATTTGGTATTAAAAAGAAAAGAATTTTCCTTTCTAATGTTTTACATCGGCATGTGTACGCAGGTGTTGGGAGCATTTCTTTAAGTGGATCTTTTGCTTCCTTCTTCATAGTGACATTTTTAATTATTTATATATATGTATGTGTGTAAACATTTACCTTTAGCTACTGTTGTTTTTTTTAACTGACATTTTCTGCAAGGAGCATGTACTTTCTCTTTCTCTTCTTTTGTTTATCTCTCTTACTCTCTCTCTCTCTCTCTCCTACGCTAGGTGAATTTTTAGTAGGAAATAAGTGCGTTTTTATACCCATAACCGACGGATGTCAAAATGTTTGCAACGCCTAGAAAGAAATAGAGATCAAATTCTAAATCGATTTAAGCAGGTCCGTCTATCTGTCTGTCGTCTGGGTAATTTATGTTGTAAGCATTCTCGTGGCCCCAAAAATGAAGCTATCGATTTTAAATTTCGCAGAAGCATTGAAAGTTCTTGCAAGAAAATGAGCAAAATCGGTTGAAGGACCGACCCACGGCACTACATAAACTGAGACGCAGATAAATGTATAAGAATTTGAAAGCATATTCTATGCGTGAGGCTGTAGCACGGTTAAAAATGTGAAGCCACGCCTACCATGCCAAACAAAACAGGGGCAGAAACAAGCTTCAAAAACTCCATAAGGTATATAAATTTTTGGCCAGTTTCCGTTGATTGCATCTCTGTCTGGCTGCTCAACTGTGTGGTATTTGTGCTAAACGTTCTCCCGTTAGCGCCTACAATTTTTCCGAAGAATTTTGAAGGAACCTAAACCTTTCACAGGACACGCCCACAACCAAGTCCACTCATCTATGCGACAAAAAACTTTTATTTTGCTAATAAAAAAAATCAGCTGTGCCCACTTCCCCCTTATGGAGCATGAAAATGCAATTCTTTCCTGTTTTTGTTTTTTTTTTTAGGATAAAGGTGACGGGTATAAAAGATTCGATTACGACCGATTATAATTTTCTTACTTGTTTTTTTTCGTGTTTTTTGTGTTTTTTTTTTGCTTTAAGTTGAAACGACAATGAGAACAATATCAGCAGGAATTGTTATCAAAATACATTGTATTTACTCTTAAAAGCAAATTTAATGGTTAAGGAGAAATGATGATGGGTCGGTCATAAAAAAACAAAATTTTAATATTAAAAAGTTTTAAAGTATTTTTAAAAGAAAAATGAAATAATTTTGAGTAGAAATTTATTACATAATAGCAGTAATTAAAGCGATTTAATAAATAAAAATGAATTTTGTATTTCTTTGTGTGCGGCAGTCGAGAAAATATTAAGCCTTCAAATAGACATTAAGTTATTTTACCATAGAAGCATGCTTGCCTGGCTATTGGTTGAATGATTGTATGCATGACTTAACATCTTTGGCACCTTTCATACCCTACATAATCATATGCGGTGCAAGGGCACACTAAGTTAGTACGGATGTACCCAATACACAGAATAACCATCGTAAGCATCTAAGCTTGTCCGTGCGCCTGTCCGTATGGTTATTTCAACCTACAAGCCACAATTTTTTTTAGATATTTTTACGAAATTTGGTATATTAGAAGAGTTTGGCGCAATGAATAGGACCCCTTGTCATTGTAGGGATCAAAGTGGTGAAGTTAAGGTTGTGTTAAGTATTTAGCGTAGAGTAAGTACTTCTGCTATTTGCTATTTCTTCATATAGTAAACAATTTGTTGTGTTCTTGTGGATGTCGCTGTCTTCATTCGAATGCAATCAATTAACCGTTTGACAATTACACCTGGATTTCGAACAGAGAAGTTAAATGCTTATCCCTATCCTTCTTGATCTAACCGACTGCTTGGAGCTTGTCCTTCATAGGCGCGGATAAGAGATATATTAAGGGGAGACAATTCGTGTTGACCGACAATTATCGATGTTAAGTTATTATATCAGGGGAAGATATGTTTACAGACTATCTCTGGATTATGTTGACTGTTCAGGTTCACATTACTCTAAATACAATCTTTTTGTAGTCGATGGAAGTTTTCATTCTCAATACCCTTTATGCTGCAATGAGTAAAATGGAACCTAATTATAATGTTTGAAGAGATAGTAGATTTCATTAGTCATGCGGATAATACAGGACACTCGGAGGCTTACTCCGGCGACAGAATGTAAACAATTTGTCCGACAAAGACAAATGATAATCCTCGCCCACACATTGCCTTATTGTGAAAAGCCATTATATGAACAATTGTATTAAGCGTGGAGTGGTGTAGGCTGAATATTTATGGATGGGCCGTGGCTCACTATAGTGCTTTCATTTCCTTCCAATATGCGAGAAAAGAGATTTAGAAAGACGTCATATACGATTAAAAGTTGCTTTCATTATAAACTACTGCTGAGTCAGCATCGTTTTGTTTGCGAATCTGCTTTAACGTCACTGTTATCGTCGCCGCTGACTTGTCAATAATTTTGTATGTGCGCATCAGAATTGATGTCGGCGGGGAGCGAAAGGCATAAAAAATTTCATATAAAATTGTATGTAATTTTTTATTGTATATTGATTATTGGAATTATTTAAAAGTCTACGTTCGAACAATCAATCAATAATTTGCTGTAAAAGCATTTAAGAACCTAAGCTTCTTTTCTTCACTTCACTTCATTTCACTTCACTTGCTAGACTCTTCTTCACACTTCTGGAAAATTATGAACATTAATATATACATTATTTGTATGGATGTATTGGAAATATTCCTAATTCATGTGATATCAAAGTTTCATTTTAAGATGGGTAGTCAGTTTACATTGGTTTACTCATTTTATTTTCAGTTAATGATTCATCATCAATCTATTGTTGTGTTTTTCGCTTTTACTACAGCACAATGCATGCTGGAGTGAGTCATTAAAAGTTTACATTTTTTTGTGTAAAATACCGCCTTTAGAGTTAATAGTCGTGATCCTAATCATCTCGATCAGAGGCGGTCCGATTCGAACCATTTTCAATAGTGTTCGTCCTTGGGCCAAAATACGTTCTCCATTCGTTATTCGTCCCGACCATCATCATGCCAGCGCATATAGGGGACATCCACTGGTTGGTCGTATACAAAAAAAGAAAAAAAGAATCAAAATATACATCGATAGACATCAGATGGACGGGCGTCCAGGCATGCTAAGATTGATGAAGAAGAGGAAAAAAAAGATCGAACTATCTCAGAAACTGCGATATGCAGTTTGGACACAAAAATGCATCGATAGACATCAGATGGACAGACAGGCCAGTTTGTAGATTGATTTAGAACGTGGAAAAAGAGGATCGTCATATTTCAGACACATTGATAGATATCAGGTGGATGGCCGGACAGACAGGCAGCCAAGCTTAGATTGACTTAAAAGCGATTTTGAATCGATTGCCATAATAAAAGGTTCTGGGTCTGGGTCTATCTCAAGTCTTTCTTAACTTGTTGTTGCATATTTGCGTACCAGCTTGACACACTATAGATATATTTTATTAAAGATGTCAATGGGTCATTTTTCTTTAGTATTATAATCTTCACCTTTGCTTTTATTTAGCATCTTTCCATTAATTTAAACTAAAAAGTGCTTGGCTTAAGTTAAAAACTTTATTTAGCCTCAATTCTCTAAAAAATAAAAAAATAAATAAATTCCCATTAAAATAATTAAAAGCATTGCAGGGGAGCAAGGCCGACCCTTAAACCTATTACATCATTTCGATTAATGCGATTCTTTAGTTATTTTCATGATAAACGGGAGATGCATTTAAGTAACAGATACACGTAGTCCAATTTTCACCATCAACTAGACATTTTTACCGTATAAATCTTAACTTTCATGGGGACGGTTGTAGTAAAGGGTGTTCCAAAAAATTGGCCCACTCAATCTCACTCGGTTTTTATGGAGAAACTCTATAAATAGAAATCTTTTTCATCTAAGAACCATTTCCGAATAAGACGTTGACCTATTTTAAATAGGATTTGTTGCTCGATGAAACCATCAGTCAGCCTAGTGAACTTTGTGAAAATATTGCAAGAAGATTCATAGACAGCCATCAGCCGAAGAGGCAAGTTTTAAATCGATTTAGAAAACAATTCTGATTTGATCGGTATAATAAAAGATAGGGTTTATCTTACGTCCTTTTGCGCGCACCTAATATCCACACATGTGCCCATATGTGGTATAGGATGTAATCATAGAAACCAAGTGTTATTCCCTTGAGCTGAATTGAACTCAGCGATCCACGTGTTCATAATTCTGGTCTTTTTTGTTTTTGTGATTTTAATGCAAGCGAGCAAGAAAATTATGTTCGGCAAAATTGAAGCAAACAAAGTGACTAAAGTGAAATTTACGATACTCTATATTATTGAGTGGGCGTAGTCGATTTCTCGCCTTTTTCTAAAGGTACTGTAGAGTTAACCTTAAAATATATATATATATATGTTGCGGTTTATGGGGAAATCAATCTTTTTGCTTTTGAATCCCAAGATGTTGTGTGCGTGGCCTCTGATTAATTCGATCACTTTTGAACATAAATTTATTCGCAAGTATTTCCAATGTTTTTCCCAAATCTACAGCTGATATCTCTTAATACTTGTGGCCATGGATATTGTTGCCATATATGGATAGATGGCAATGTTTAGATCGACCTTAAATATTTGGATAGACCTTTTAGTGTCCTTGAAACTTACTTCTGGAATGCGTAGAGAAATGTTTCTTTTCCCTTTTATCGAAGATCCATTCGGCAACGTTGGTTTTTGATCACCTTAGCTGCTTGGCTTGGCCAGTAAGGCCACATGGACATTCATTTTCTTACATCCGATTAGATTAGTAATACTTAGCTCTTGTTACGGGTTGCTAATGTTATCCACAATAAATTTAAAAAACATTTTCTTTTTTTCTTATGCAAGAATTCTTGTCCTTAAATTCTTTGGCATTCATTTACATTCAAAGCAATTGCAGTATTTGAAGATATTTGGTATTCGCGGCCGCGTGAACGTAGGTATCCATACATGGTAACATATACCGGCATTGTTGGTTTTTCAAATGCAGTCGTCATCTTTGTACTAGAGTCGCCCGCCATTTCTGATAACTGTTTCCTTGTTCACATTTAAATTGAACACAAACAGACATTATTCCTACTTTTTATATATTCGAAAGCTTCCTAACCATGTACGAGTTTACCCCCCTAGGCAAATGTTCCCTAATTGGCTGTTGGCAATGCGTAAATACAGTCCATTTTTATAGCGTACACTGCTTGTGGTACAGGGTGTGTTAAGTTAGTACCGAAGTAGGTAACGCGAAGAAGGGCTTAAGATAATGCCTTCTTTCTATTTTTTTCAGAGTCCTAATCCGAATTGATACAAGTTTGTCCGTCCCTCTGTCCGTCTGATGTGCCCCTAAATAAATTTGTGTTCAAACTACTGGTTGCGTATTTTTGAGATATTTTGACCATCACTTCCTCATATGACGCCCTATTCTGAAAAGTCGTTATAAGGGAAAAAATTGTACTGTTCGAAATTGCTCAGCAAAAGTGGCTAAGTAGTAGTATTTCGGCATTGTAAACTGTTATGAATACTTTGGATGGGCTGGGCTGGCGGCAACGTTTTGAACTTCCTCTCATATAACGAAAACCGAAGTTCATACGACGAGAAGGTATGATATTAATT